ATGAAGAAATACTACAATCTTACATTGCTTTGTTTGCTTTCTTTTGTTTTTTTGTACTTTTGTGTATTTACATTTTTGGCTATATGTAGCTGTATTAACCTGAATTTAATGTTTTCTATTTTGTATTTAATAAATTGATTTGAAATCCCTTTGACTACTGTACATTTTTGACAATACAGACATTAGTTATGTGGTGACTGCATCCATTTCAGATGTATAATAACTGTTTTTCCCAAAGACTTAAGTTATAGTAGCTGGAAAGTATTGATAGTGAAACAGATGTATTGTTGTTGATCAGGGGTGCCCACCCCTGTTCCTGGAGATCTGCCTTCCTGCAGAGTTCAGTTCCAACCCTGTTCAAACACAACTGAACCAACTAATTAGGATCTGAAGGAGCACTTGATAATTACAGACAGGTGTGTTGATCAGGATTGGAACTGAACTCTGCAGGAAGGTAGACCAGGGTTGGGCACCCCTGTTGTAGATTAATAGTGCGGGCCCCGTGTGGGCCTAGTGTGGGCTTCCTGGGGGCTAAGTGAGGGCTACCTGTGCAGGACATGAGTCAATGCTGGCCCAAATACCAGCTGATTGACATATAAGGGTTAGTGACTTTTATGGAACGAGCCCTTCGCCCTGGGCCAGCAGTGGCCTGTTACTTTCTATCCACATCAATCGGGACGCAGAACAACCGTTGGTGAAAAATTGATGCTAGAGCACTCAAGGTTCATGGGGTTTCTACAGGATGTGTTTGGTGAGTGATTTCATTGAGGAGGATATTAAGAAAAAAATCTTAAGAGACAAGGGTTTAAAGATATAGACCTTAGGGTAGCGCCATTTTAATTTCTGACAGTAACAGAAAAATCCGCTGTGAGGGATAGAGATGTACAGTGCGTTCAAAAAACTGTACTGTTGTTTAACTGTTGTCAAGACTAAAGTGAGGAACAACAGAGGCCGTAACTCAACAGCAAAGTTACAGAAATCACTCTACCCTTCCATTATTCTCCCCAGAAAGACAGAAGCTCAGATAATGGCCAGAATATATTCATCTTCCTAACAGCTGAATGAGTCTGTGGATAATAGAAACATCCAGTTCTGAAAGGCTCTTCCCACAAATTTCTGAATGAGACAAACTCTTCTATTGCTTCAGCGGGGAGTCTGCTCGGGCACATGCGTTATAACTGGCTGTGGTGGCGGACTAGACTGAGAGTGTTGAGGAAAGAGAGCATCAGAGACAGGAAACAGCCTTTGAAGTGCTGAGAAAGTAGAAATGGAATCCAGCCACAGACATAGATAAGACATTCACATCAGAGTCTACAGCACTGGGGAGCTATTTTCCTGTTTAAAACTGAACAAGACATTCAATGTACATGCAACCAACTGGACTTCTCAGTGCCCTATCTCTAAGATGACCATATCCTTACTAGTGTGTGTGTGTGTGTGTTTACTGTATATACAGTTGTGGTCAAAGTTTGCATACACCTTGCAGAATCTGCAAAATATGAATTATTTTACCCAAATAAGAGGGATCACATAAAATGCTTTTTTTTTTTTATTTAGTACTCTCCTGAATAAGAAATTTTACAGAAAAGATGTTTGCATTTAGTTCGCAAAACAAAATAATAGATGAGTTTATTCAAATTTACATACGCTTATACTGTGTGTCGATTCCTAAATTATCCACAACTCTTTATATATATATATATATATATATAGCCTACTCCATTAATCTATTTTATTTACAACTTAAAAAAAAATATTTTTATATATTTTTACTGGAAAATAAGACAAAACACTGATTAAGAATTTTTTTTTTTAATCATTATTATTATTTTGGGGTCCAGCTTCTTTTTCTATTTGTTTCCTAAATTTTATGTCCTATAAAAAGGCAAAAACCCAAAAAGCAAAAAAAAAAAGTAACTGTAAAATAAAAAACTTTCTGTGTTCTAATAGTTGTAACTCCACTTTGTTCTTTATTGCCCAAAGCATTACCCCTCACTCAGAATCACTGGAGCCAACAAAATGGAAATTGGCTGCCTCAGCTGTGCCCTCTGTGGTTCACATTCTGCAGCTTTCCATGCAATCAGCACAAGTCGGCTGCTTTTCATTCTTTAATTGGAACGCCTGCCATGGATTTGGCTGGATTATAGCTGACATTATAAATCATAATTACAAGACATCAAAAGAATCGGTCAAGAGAGCCAATGAGTTGAAATATTTTTGTGGGTTCTTTTTTTTTTTTTTGTAGTACCAAAACACATAAACGACTATATAAAAACGACATGCTTGTGTGAGTTGTGTTGGAACCTCATCCAGATGTGATGACAGGCAGCTTGTTTGTTGTTATATAAACTATTTTAATTTTTCCACAGGGAAGAGGTCTACAAACTTATCATTCCACTGGAAGAGGATCAAGCCATCACAACCTGAGGATAAAAGTGAAGTAATGACTGTTGGAAAACACATCCAATGTTATCCAACACTGCTTAAAAATGAGCAGCTGTCAGGTCCCCCCCTAGCCATCCTCTAACAGACTTTCCATGAAACATAGACTCCGATACAAACCTCCAGAGCAAGCTTTCTTTAGATTCTCCATTTCCAGCTGGCAGCTACATCAACAACGCCTAAGGGTTAAGAACGCGGCAGAATCTAGTCTGCTAGCAGGTGCTAACTGCTAAAACAAATCACCATCATTTCACATGTATCCACATCAGCTCAAATAACATCCTGTCTGTTCAAATCAAGGAGTCAAGATTTGGCTGGTTAACATGGCCTTTTAGCAATTTCTGGTAGATGCTGTAACTATGGCATTGTGGAGAATAAAAGGTAATTTTTCAGAAATATAATATAATATAATATAATAAATATAATATAATATAATATAATATAATATAATATAATGTGGAAAATGTCCCAAAGTTTGGAGTCAACAAGTTTGTTTTTTTTAAGAAATTGATATTTTTATTCAGCAAGGGTAAATCAAAATGATCAAATGTAAAATTAAAGACATTTATAATGTTACACAATAATGCTGTTGTTTTGTACTTTCTATTCATTAGAAAATCCTGGGGGAAATAAAACAGTACAACAGTTTTCAGCATTGATAATAGTAAGAAATCAACATAATAGAAAGCTTTCTGAAAGACACAGCGTTGCCATTGCAGACATAAATTACATTTTAAAATATATTTGAATAGAAAACAGTTATTTTAAATTGTAATAATATTTCGTAACATTATTGTTATATAATACTGCTATATTTTATTTTATTTTATTTATCACATGTCATTTAGGGCTCAAATCTCTTGACATGAACAGAAATGCTCTCTGATAACTCTCTCCTGGTATTATAAGCCGCCTTGGTGCCAATCTAGATACATTTAGATAAAAAGAACAATTTGAGCACCTGCCAAAATGACATTCGAACAGATATGTCGATTTGGCAAAACAAGTTTAAAGGGGACAGATGTTAGGCACAAGCTATTATAATGAGGGAAGATGATCTGTTCCTGAGGTGGACTGCTGGAGGTCTCAACAAGTTCAGTGCGGTCAGCTAGCATTGAGCCTCGAGGGCCTACCTGGAGCAACGCATCAGCTCATGGCTCTCAGTCTGCTGCTTCCAAGTCCTCTGTTTAGACAGAGCAACAAAGTAGAGATCTGGCACCTGGCCAGGTTTGTAGCTGGTGATTGCGGGCCTGTTTGCCAGCTGACAGCTTGAGTCGGGAGGGTGAGGGCAGGGAGAGAGCTGCATTGGGGCTGGGGTAGTGCAGCATGACTATGACACACAGGAGGGAGACACTGAGCGTATGTAGCAAAGTGCACAGTCAGAACAGCAAGGTGAAAGACGTCTCACTGTCAGATTAAGCGTATGACACAGCTCAAGTTTAGCAAGGTAAAATGATCAAGTTATACTTTATATACATAAAAATTAGGGTTAAATATCACCTACATCTACAGCCACATATTGAACCTGGTATAATGGCTCTCTCAACATGGGAAATGCATAATTATTCAAAGTGCATGCTATGAAAAAGTTCTCATGTGACCCAAGATTGGATTCTCCTTGCTATACGGTTAGCAGCCCTCTAGTGGACAAGTTGGAAAATGCAGGGCTATGTGAGTCCATGAACCCAACATCTGAATTAAAGACACACCACTTATTGAAATTAGTCTGAAGGTCGATCAGATGCACAGAACACATTTTGGATTACAAATATGATGGCTCCTTTAGAGTTATCTTGTGTTAAAAAAGCTAAAGCCATCTGCAAGGTCTACAAAGGCATAATATTCAAAACGAATAACTAATATATACAGCCAAAAAGACTGATATAATAAAATACTATTGAGCACCATACCAGTTATACATAACAGTATCCCCATTAATAACACCTTAAGATGTGTAATTAAAGTTCCCCATGTCAGAGCTTAAAATGATATTTTTTACCAAAAAATGACCATGTACTCAATCTCCTGAGGTTGCAAACCATAAAGGACATGTTAGCTAAAATGACAGCCTCAGTTACCACAAATATGCAATGGTACCATCTCCTTTTGGTGGGTAAATCATGACAAAATGTTCATTTTGGGGTGATCAAGCCCTTTAATTTGACAGAACCCACTTAATATGAAGTATATAAGCCTAAAGTTGCTCATGGGATTGAAGAACAGGTGAAAATGGTTGGAATAAAAAGCACCAGCTCAAACCCTTCAGTTTTTCCAAGACCAAATTATTTGAAAACAAGCACTTCAACAGAAATGTCACTAACCAATGACACAGCAATAATATTTATGAATAAAGAGAAATATATAATCCAAAATAATTACGGAAAAAAACAGAAGTGATATATTGTTCACTTTAAAATATTCAACATGAACAAGATACCATTTAAATATTTAAAAAATAAAATAACCCAAGATGAACCAATCCCAGAAAAAAAATATTAACGACTGAAAATAACTTAGCAAACTCAAGGCTTTATATAATAAATTGCACTTCAACTCACCTTGAGCAGCTGTTCCTCTGGTGCTGAATACACTTGCTATCAAAGTGGCCACATACCAAATCATAGTACTATTGCCAACCAGAGAGAAACCTCATCATATCTCAAAGTGCCCCTTTCAATAAATCATTCTTATCCGAGCCCCTGGACGTTAGACACACTGTCAGCTGCTGATACCCTTTTATTCATGCCCTGCATACTTTTCTCCGACGGTTCCCTTCATTCTTTCCCTCCCCTTCTTTCCTTTCGCGTCCTCTCTCGATGAAATAGAGCACCTGCACCAGCGAACGGCAGCCAGACGCGGCTTGATAGCAATGCCAGCGTGAAACGAAGCTGACAATTTAGATGTTAGCTCCGCCCCCGCTCCAATTTCATTGGCCGGTGGGGGAGGAATCGGGGTGGGGATTGGTCGCCTCCCCGTCGCTCGCCACGTAAAAACTGAGAGCACCGCGTTTCAAGGTGAGTTGGAGCGTGAAGTGGCGTCGGAACCGCAGTATCATGCGCAAAAGCGAAGTCGTGTAAGCAGCCTGTCGGATGCCCAACGTAGGCACAAGGCTTCGCGTGTTGTGAAAGTTAAAGGTGCGGAGGGGTGGTAGACGTCATACTTTCACGTGTGGGGAGGAAATCCTCAACCTGGCCTGTATGCGTCATTCGCATTTCATGCCATCGATTGCACTGCGCGCGTTGTTAGTATTGAGACATGAATCTGGAGCCACACTGAATTCTCCGGTAGTAGTGATGTCACTTGTTAGTGACATCATGGTTGAACCAAATTTCCAGCTCTAAACTAGTTCTAAGGAGGCAAGTAACTAGGGCACTGTAATGATATGACACAGGTGATAAGAGTCAAGTAAATCTAATTTGTATTGCAGTGCACCTAAATAAATAAATAGTTTCATAGCAGGAAATTATGCTTCAGTGAATACAACATTACCATTTTAAATGTATAAAAATACTAAAGGGATAGTTCAGCCAAAAATGAAAATTCTGTAATTTGTTTTTCCTCGGGTAATTCCAAACCCACATGTTGTTGTTTTTTATTCAGTTGGGGAAAAAGGAGAACTTTTCAAGAATCTTAACACAGCTCTTTTCCATACAGTGATAGCTCATAATGTCCAAACTGAAAACTGATTACCAAACTTTAAATATCGACTGATAATTCAAGATGTTTTCTGTCATCTGTTTTCTGAAAAGTTATCTTGTCTATTGCATTTCCCTAATTTAGAAAATGCTAAAAGGGATCAGCTGTGATGCTAAAAAGAGAAAATGCAGTTTTATAGCAACCTATTAAAAAATAGACAGAGACAGACATTTGCGGTGATAAAAGAAAGATTTGAAGTGTTTTTCTTGTTTTGTTTTTTAAGATTTTATGGGATATTGTTAATTTAACCTGGGGTGTATTCCAGAAAGCACGGTTAACTTACCGTCAGCTAAACCCTGAACTTTCGGTTGATTAACCCCAAGCCTTGCTTACTCGAGGTATGTGGTTCCAAAAACGCGTCCGGGAGTAAGTTCATTCAACTCAGAGTATGTTCCTGGTTAAGACTCAAGACATTCTCAACAGAGCAACGAATCGACGAGTCACTATGGAAACGGACGCTAAGAAAAAGCGTGCCATGCTGTTTCTTTCTTCTTCTTTTGTTCAATGGTCGTTTACATGCTTAGTGCATATCGCCACCTAATTGATGGTTGTGCAATCATTTAAATTTTTTTCCGTTTAATCTTTAATCCTTGAGAATATGAATTATATTGTTTGTTTGATGCTAATTATATATTAACAGTGTTGGGCAAGTTACTTCCAAAATGTAATACATTATATATTACTAGTTACTGTCTTTTGAAAGTAATTAGTTACATTACAATATTACTGTCTCTGAATTGTAATGCATTACACTACTTTTGAGTTACTTTTGAGTTACTTTCAT